TGCAAATGTACTGATCTATGATCTGAATTATACTATTGACTGACTGTCTGAGGCTAACAGTTACACAATCATACCAAAACGCTGTCCTGATACTTTCTACTTTCTCTTTTGTATCACACATACTGAGACAATATTCGGGATAAATAACCAAGAAAACTATTTTTTTACCGGTATTCCGTTTAGAGGTTTACATATCATTATAATCACAGAGCCCGCTTCACTTGAATTGTCCACTTGATGGCGCAGTAGAGCAAATGAATCATCACAATGCTTCGAACCATGAGTCGACCAATTGGGTGGAAAGCTTCAGTTCATCATGAGGCTTCATCTCACCATCACTAGACGTATGCCCCCAACTCCCCTTCAAAGTCTTTTTAACAGATAGTCGGAGGGTCCCCTTTGTACCAGTTGTTATTTTACAGTTACAGCGAGTAACTATTTATTTCTAAAAGTTAAAGCTGACCCTTTGTTGCATTTGTAGCTTCTCTTGTTTAAAAGCTTGCATTAAGGACAGCTAGATTAAACTCCGCCTCTAGAGGGCAGGCTTGCCTTCATACAAATATCAAACCATATGACAAATATGCAAAGTTTTGATTAATACATTTCTCTGTATCTGGAGAAATTGGAGTAGACAATTTCCACTGTTCTTCAGTGGAGAGTGTGCTCTCCAATGCCTGGGTGTTTGGTACGCAGGGGCCCTACTGAGAACAGGAAGGGTCATTGAAACCGCTCCAAAAAATCACTGGCTGCCCTCTGCCACCCCTGGAGCCCATCACCAGATCCTCCTGTCTCAGAAAAACCAGGACCATCATAGGTGACCCCGTGCACCACGTACAGTTTGACACACTGCCCTCTGGTCGACGCCTCAGGTCAGTCAGGTCCCACACCTCCAGACTCACTAACACTGAGTAACCCTAATCACTCAGGGCACTCACAGACACACGGATTCTATTCAGGCCAAGTCTTTTTCTTTGCACTACCTCCAAGCACTTTGCAACTTTTTCTCCAATGTGTGCCTTTCTATTGCTTGTATATATCCCTCTTGAATGTATATCTCCTGTATGCTACTTATTCTTGCTGTCTGCAAATTATATTTAATTCCAACATAGTTGGTGTGGAGCAAACACAATTTTGTTGTACATGTACAATGACAATAAAGGGCTATTCTATTCTATTCTATTGTAAAAGCTTGGGAAATGAACTGTTCATCCAGCCTGACAACGCACATATTTCTATCTAGTGTTCAATATCCTTCATACTGTGATTGAAAGAGACCTATTTGTCTGTCTGTGTGTCTTTTTCCTCAACAAATTCATATTTTCAGCTTCATCATCTGACCAAAAATATACTAGAAAATGTTTCCAAACTGCTACAGTTTAAATGCTCATATCCACCAGGTGGCGCTACATCCTCATTTGAATTCTGCTGTAGAGTCATTTATGGGCTTTCATAGCGTACTGGGATTTCTTTGTAAGTGAAAAATTAAGCCGAACAAGCCACACTTATGTCCATTTGTTGTTCTGGGGTTATATGGGTGACCCTATCTTGTTATGTATTAGATAGATAAACGAAAAGTGACGAAAAGTAAGCATGATGTCACTCTCGGTCTGGCCAGCCGCAGAGGCTTCTGGGTAGCTGCCGTGTCGGAGACATTTTGGATTTAAAGGGGCTGAGCTAGCCGTCAGTCCCAGCTCTCGGTAAGTGAAAAGCTGTATTTCCTCCGTGAAACGTTAGTGTTGTGTGAGCTTGTGTGTGGTTGTGTGCTTCGGGAGCATGGATTTTAGATGCTGCGTATAGAAATGAGCAGCTCTGCGCTTTGAACAGGATGAACTTGCGACATTTAGCCGGGGAGTGGTGACGCTATCGCTGGCTAGCTGAGAGCTAGCTGGGCGCTGAGCGGAGCTCTACACAGATCGGGCAGTAAGAGCTTTCAAAACTAAAGAGTCTTCGATCATTAAAAAACCCACGGTAAACCCATCAAAATTCAAGTGTGACCCTAGAGATCATAACGAAATTGGTAGGTGAAAGAAGAAAATGTCATGGATGGCTAAAGCTATATGAAATTGTGTTGTTCTAGAAAAGCGTCAGATGTCAGATTACCTGGTGTGTTTTGCGCTTTGAAGTGATGACAAAATGTACACAGAGCTTTCTGTCCACATTAGCGGCAGTGCAGTGCTATTAACATGTAACTACCACGACTTTAGGATGGCGCCTCTGTTTTCAGCTGTTTCCCGTCATTATCTTCTCGGCTTGTTTGTGGGGAACTGCGATCTCGTCACAGGTGTCTGATTTTCCTGAATAATACTCCTCGGCATGGTACGATGCTGAAGTGAACATCTCTTCTTTTTTCCTAGCAATACGCAGGCATATTCATTTGTCAGACAGCCATTAGTGGGAAGCAGCCCTCCAGCTGCTGGTTTTGTGTAGTGATGGATGACTGAGGACAGTCAGTGGCACCTCCCTGCTGGTTGTTTCCAGGCCCTGCCACACCCTCTGGGTTGGCTGGCTCTCCTTTGTGTCTCTCACAGTGATACCGACACTGTGTTGGATTGCTGTTTTATTGTGCAGGAAATAAGGATTATTAATCCGGTGGTGTCAAACTTCACCAAGTGGACAGGAAAGGCGTCCCCTTGGGAGATGGCTTTGGTTTCTCCCACTGGCTTGGCTAGGAAGTTGCTGACTCCTCTCTGCCGTTTTCCCCCATTTCCTCTCCCAGTATGCATCACACCCTTTCTCAAAAAGGGTAGGCTAGTAGGATTGTTTATAACTAAACACAGACAATTTTAAAGAAGACTAGATTATTATCTTAAGATGAGAGTTTTTAACCCTGCCTCACAGACAAAACAAAATGAATACGAAATTAAAGTTGGTAGCAGAGCGTCCACATTTATGCCAGTTGTTATTGCGTTAATCCACTGTTGTGATCTCAGTGGGGGGGAAAGCACTACCTTCACAAGTGACGGTAGTGATGATAGATGGGTTAGAAGAAAAGAGACGGAGTGAGGATGGTGTTGGCCGAGAAGTAAAGTAATAATGTGAATCTTAAGGCATTCCGGGAGATGGAGACGAATGAAGGCTGTAGCTTCTGGATGAAGGCACGAGGCCCAGATTTCCACCGGTTAGAGGGGAGTGAGCCAGTCAATATGGAGTACGCCGACCTCTGTTTAAATTGTATTTCATTCAATACATTGTTCCCTGCTCTCATACTGGCCTCGTGGTGGGAAGTGCTGTAATTGCAGTTGTATGACCTTTGAGCCTTCTTCAAGAATGACTCATCTAACTTGTCTTCCCGGTCCAAGTTGGGTAACAAGAGCTAAATCGTGCCTATTCTGTTTATATTTTTCAGATTATTTTTAGGCTGCGTCTGTATATATGAGTGTAACTGGTGTGAGTCACAGTTTAAAGTCCACACATCACATCTGTTGAGATCCTGGAGTTTGTGAATTATGATTTTCTTTAACCATAGTATTCAAACCATCCAGTGCTCAACTGCACACCCCTGCTGCACGAGTCAGCCTATGAACATCGCTCGGGCGACTGTGTGAGTGACGTATCATGGCAGTGTAAATATTTTCTGACGTGCTGAAGGTAAACAGTATGTGAGGCATTTCATTCTTAGTGCCATGATGAGTATTATATGTAAATAAGCTCAGTATTGATATAAGAGCTCCTAGGATGCCAGACCATTTTGAGCCTGTGTCACTGAGGCTGTTCTGTTGTGCCTCATTAGGTCTCTTCCTTTGTGTGTGATGAGTATAGAGGAGAGGAGCAGGCTCTAGATCGGGAGAACTCCCTCCCCCATCTGACCTGCTCCTCTGCACTCCTCTGTTTTTGTCCCTCTGTGGGCGGGCCCGTCTCCCGACGTGCACCCAAGCTGATGCTGGTTGTTCTGACGAAGCACTGGGGAAGGTCACATCATCCCGCAGGCAGCTCCTCGTCCTCATCCTCACCAAAATTAGCATTCGTCACTCTCATTACTGTCCAGCTTCATTTCCATTCGCTTCATTTTCACACTGAACGTTTATTGTGTTATTTTGTGTTTGTTTTGTTTTAAAAAAACAAAACAAAGGATCTCTCTTTGGATTAGGAGGGCAGGTTTATGATGCCGTTTGCTGGTGTGTAGCGCTTTTCCTCAAGGAGGAGGACATTATTTCACCAGCTTTTCCCCGTGCCAAACTGTGAGGTTCTGCTCTGCTTCTGAAACCCAGGTTTGTTTTCTGGTACAAGCTGTAGCAGCAGAAAATATGATGAATGGCTTTTAGCCTTTAGCAGCTATTTGTCGCTTTGTTTAATGACTTTGTCATGCATCGCTCTATTATTCCTCTATATATTCCACCTCAGTTTTTGTAAAGCTACATTTCCTTAAAAACTCCATCTGCTTTACCATGGAGCGAGATGAACGTCTGTTAAAGCAATGCGTGTCGTGTGCTTATTGAAATGGCAGGTCATGTAGCTGTGGGCTGGCAGTTTTGTTCAAAATGCTTTCCTGGTATGCATTTTCTAGCAACCTGACTTAAGCTGGAGAACCTTCGGTCATACTTGACCCTCATTATTCTTGAACCCAATGATGAGGTCACTTGTATTGAAGCCTGCATCGAGTGAATGTATACTGCTGCGCACAGTAACGTGTGCATCACGAGGGCACGTAAAAGCACCGTTGGCCTTTTTGTTGGTATAAGAGGTCATAAACTAGATGTGTTGTCTTTCATTTATTTTGCTAGCATACTGCATTTTTGTGTTTCCATTTGATGATATCAGCTATTTCCCTCCCACATGATCTCATAAAACAAAGTAAATGTTAAAGATTAATCCAGGGGCAGAGAACAACAGGACTGCTGGACTTCTCATATACCTCTTTAAACACTTGGGGAAATATTAACTCGAGCCGTCTGAGGAAAGAAACTCCCTAATTGGAGTGCTTTATTAAAAGTAAAGATGCTGGCTCACATGAAAGCACTTCTCTTGTAGACCCGGCTTTCATCCATACAGGTGTTAAACAGCTGAGTCGGAGGAGCTCTACAGGGTAATAAGCTGTTTGATCTGCGAGCAGTGTTGATCTTTCAAAGAAAACATTTCATATCGTGCTCGCAGGAGTGAGGCGTCTCACAGCCAGACTTTCAAATGACTGCAGGCACAGATGAAAAATATAAAGCTGTCTGACACGCCTTCATGCAAAGTAAGGGTCTCTGCAATATTTGCTTTGACTTTAATGAAGCCTCAGTCCTTTGGCATCTCTGTTGATCGTGCAAATAGAAGTTCTAGTTGATTTGTTTTTGGCATTTGAGTTTCATGGAACTGAGTGAGGGTTTTTCTTTTGTTTTTGTTTTCTTTTGAGTCTTTTCTGTTCGCTTTCATGTTTGCTTTCGCCTTCTAAAACCCTTATCTTCTAACGGCTTATTATTAGATTTTATAATGCATATTATATAATGTATTATATAATTATATAATGTATATTGTGAAAGCAGTTCTAAGCCAGCACCAAATACAACACTACAGAGTTAATATTTCTGTAGGATTGCTTTTGTACTTTTAATCAGAGTTCAGTCAGTTTGGGATAGAAAAGGGGGCTTCTCTTAAGAGGTTGGCTGTCTCTTTGAATTTTCCATTGTACTGCTCCCCGATTAGAATAAGTATAGAGGGGTGGTTATTTATGAAGTCGAGCGTGCTCCCCTCGTGGTACCATAGCTAATAAGCTCAGCATTGCTAAATACCATTGTTGAAGTGTTTTAACAGCTTAAACAAATGGCTTCATGCTTTACCTGGGCTGTGCAGAGAGTTCAGTCATTTCTGTCCCTAGAGATAAATTTGTCACAAAACAGAAAATTTTGCGTTTTTTTTGTTTTTTTTTGTATGTTTTGAATTCGCAAATTAATTTAATCTGTCGGATTCATGAGGATAGCAAAGGTTTTAATTAGAGAAAAATGGGTGGTGGGGAGAATTAAGACCGTTCTGTGTCCCCCCCATAACATATAAATCTCTTATCGGCCCCTGCTGCTGTCCTGCCCAGCCGGAGACCCCAGCAGTTGCTTATTTTGTTGCTTTCCACAGGCTCATTGGCATTCAGTTGTCCACTAGGCAAGTACAGCAGCTGGCCCCTGGCTGGCTGTTCGGTGTGGTACATATTAGTATAATGAATAACACCCTCATGACAGAGCCCAGCTGCGGTTACATGATGTGACATGCACAGGAGGGACATGATTGCCCAAAACTAGCTGTAAACCAGCTGGGTTTGTTTACCATGTTTGATTTAAAGCTGAGTCAAAGTCCTCTGAGAATATGCAAGCAGATAAAGTCATCTTTACAGGAGGTTTAAGGACATAAGAAAGCAGCAGTTAGTCCACCAAGAGAAATTAATCAGCAACTATCTTGATAACTCATTAATGGTTGTGCCTGAATTAAGCCAAATACGCCCCTGCCATCATGCTTCCTGTTGTCACAGTACAAAATAAAGAGCTCTTCACTGCAGTTCTTTGGGCCTGTTTTTAATCTGTTTATTTTCTCTGCTGCTTTAAAAGACAATTGGAAGTGGTAAAGAAGGGAGTGGCTCACTAATGGTGTATTTTTATTTATTTATTTTTTACTGCAGATGGGTCTCAGCTGGTGTTTTTGTTACTGCAAGCTCCCTTTTTTCCTTAACTATTTCTCCTCAGTGCTGTTAAAACGCAGAATGCAGTAGTTCCAACACTGGCTGCACCCCAGCTGGAAGGGCAGGGCTGCGTTTTGCACTGACATTTGCATGATGTAGCCAGTAGTGATGTGGCTCATTGAGTCATAAGTTATCTTTATGTTATTTAGGTAAAGTGTTCCATGGACTCGCCCGAGGGCTGACATTTCTAAAAACGACCATCACATTACTAACTCGCAGAGGTGTTTTTAAAATCTGTCGAGTTGGCCAGCTGCTGTGCTGCTGAAGCTTTTGCTACATCATTCTCTCCTTCAGTCGCCAGTGAATCATGCACCAAGCATGGCTGGCCTCTGTTTGGGTGCTGGCACCAGAGAGAAACCATACTGCAGCATCTGTGTGCCCTGTGTTACACAGCGAGCTGCAGCCCTGCTCCCAGCCTGAGCTTATTATAGGTGCCAAGTCCCAGCAGTCGCTCCATCAGCATGATGTGTCCCATGGCTCTCAGCTAGGCAATATAATATATATATATGTTATGTTTTATGTAGCCACCCTTCTTTCTTTCTGTTTGTGCTCAATTTGTGTGTTTATACATCTGCTGATGTACTTCTCTTATGAAATTTGAATCTCTAATCTGAGCTGTAGCAATAAACATGCATTCATTTCCCCTTTTATTGCCATCACCTTGCTGCAGGATGAGGTTGTGATCTTATTAGCAGAGTAGCATCTGTCAGAATTAGCAACATACATAATCAGAGAATGCCTTAAGTGCTAATTGTGTAAATGATCATTAAAAACTAAAGATGCATTTGGTTAAAGAGAGGAACTGTACTGAGACGTGTTTTGACATTTGCAGTGAGCTGAGCCAAATCAGCTGTGCTCTTAGGTTCTGTTCTGTGTTAAGCAAGCACAGCTGTATGTTTGACACATCATTATGAAATTGTTACAGCTGCTGCTGGAATTTTCCTACAGTGTCTCAGGCTTTTCCTCCAATCTTTTACAGGTTTCCCTGAGCTAAAAAGATGTCCACCATGGTGTACCCACGGGAAGAGAAGCTGGAGAAGCTTTCTCAGGAGGAGATCATCTCGAACACAAAGCTCGTGATCCAGGGTCTCGAGGCCCTGAAGAACGAGCATAACTCCATCCTTCACAGCCTCCTGGAGACCATCAAGTGCCTAAAGAAGGATGAAGAGGCCAACCTGGTGCACGAGAAGTCCAATCTTCTCCGCAAGTCAGTGGAGATGATTGAATTGGGCTTGGGAGAAGCACAGGTATGACTGAGAAGTTACAAGGATTTACAGAATTGTATGTTTGAACCTAAAGAGGAGCTTCAGTTTAACCACGCTGATGATATGAGTGAAAGAAAAATTTGTGTGTTGTCAGACAAACAGAAGGGTTTCTAAAGTGGTAGATTTGTTTTATTATCTTCTTTGGTTGTTCCTGCTTCCTCACAGCTTCCTCATTCTATACTGAGCCTGTGCTGTGATCATGATTCACTGAAATTCAGACCCAGTTTATACTCTGCCGCCCTGTCACCGTAACATTTTGTCCTTGATAAATATCGCTGCTCTTCAATGTTGTCTCTATCCCAGGTGATGATGGCCCTGTCCAACCACTTGAACGCGGTGGAGTCGGAAAAGCAGAAGCTGCGCGCACAGGTGAGGAGGCTTTGCCAGGAGAACCAGTGGTTGCGGGATGAGCTGGCCAACACCCAGCAGAAGCTGCAGAAGAGTGAACAGAGCGTGGCCCAGCTGGAAGAGGAGAAGAAGCACCTGGAGTTCATGAACCAGCTCAAAAAATACGATGAAGATGTCTCACCCACTGTAAGTAATGATTATACAAAGATTATAGGCCTTAATGTGGGATTAGATTGGTACATTGAAGAGAACTGATTTTTGTGTGTATATGGTCTGTATTGCAAGAGGCATGTAGGAAATATATTCGTCCTTATTTATGTTCTTAACTGGAACATTTTCAGCTAAATAGATTCAAGTTGGGTTTAGCATAAGAAGGGAAATGGAAAAAGACTTTAGTTTTTCTTGTAGTTGCTGATATAACTCTGAAGGACACGAGACTGTCAGCATAATTGGCCGCAAGGAAAAAAAAACCTCACTGTTTTTGTTAAAACAAGAAAACTTTGCATTCCTTCCTGGAATGAGCCATTCTTGTGTGGTCCTCATTGATCTGGTGTCAAGGATAAATCTCTCTATTTTCTTACCATATTGTTAGTCACAGATAGTGGATGCAGGCTATTACAGCCTCTAACTGCTTAGCTCAGCAGGGGCCCATCCAGCCAGAGCCGGAAAGTTTTTGTCTTCCATTTTCCACATTAAAGAAATCTTTTAGTGAACACGGATGAGTGCAGTTTATCCTTAAGATCTCATTTATCCTTTCAAGGGGAAATAATTCTTGAATAGTCTGTTTAATGTTCCCATCCTAATTGTTTATGATGATGATGATAATTATTACCATTTTTGTATTTGTTAAAATAATTTGTTTTGTTCATCTTTGAAATTTACTCTTTGTGATGTATTATTAAGGATGATGGTAAATGAAATCTTCACTTTTCTAAATAACAGGCTCGCCTCATCTCTCCCTGTTAGACGTTAACACACATTTCACATGTCTGATAAAGGCAACTCTTGAATTATACCTGTTGTTCGTTAGAGAGTCTGACTGGCAGGTTTTTCATCCTCTCAGCAGGAGGAGAAAGACAGAGAAACACCAAAGGACTCCCTGGATGACCTCTTCCCCAATGATGAGGAGGAGCACGGCCAAGGAAGTAAGAACAAACGGCAACAATGACTCATCTGATTATCTGAATAAGAGAGAGCTGTCTTTCTTGGTTTGCTGTCGGGATAATATTGAATAAATTGTGTCATGCATGATCTCGGTGTAAAATAACCTGGCTACCTTATTCCAGGACAGTGGTGTGTGTTACAGTTTTCTACTCACTAGAGCCAATCTGACCTTTTGATTTTGCACGTTTCCTTTCTCCCCCACAGTGCAGCACCAACATAACAGTGCAGCCGTGGTCGCAGCCCAGCAGGGAGGCTATGAGATCCCAGCACGTCTGAGAACCTTGCACAACCTGGTCATCCAGTATGCCTCTCAGGGCAGGTACGAGGTGGCCGTGCCCCTGTGCAAGCAAGCTTTGGAGGACCTGGAGAAGACCTCGGGGCATGATCACCCTGATGTGGCCACCATGCTCAATATCTTGGCTTTGGTGTATAGGTTAGAAAACATACTGTGTTTGGCTTTTGGTTGCCGTGTATCCTGTTTTATTTGTTGAGCTACACATGGTGTTCTCTGTTTCTCCTTTGCACAGGGATCAGAATAAATACAAAGAGGCAGCCCATCTGCTCAACGATGCTCTATCCATCCGTGAGAAAACCCTGGGCAAGGACCATCCTGCTGTAAGACTTCACGGTTGCCATGGCTACCATATCTTCATATGGACTCATCCATGTTTAGACAGATCAGATTAGTTATCTTTTGTTTGTTCATAACTCCCAAAGACTCAATAGGAAGGAAATATTCTTTTTACTGTCCTATTCAATCAGCCTGTATCGATTTTTCCGACTATTAAAGTATGGATTTCTGACCATGTGCCTGCAGGCTTGAAGAGATCAGTCATCAGTGTTCAGTGTCTGCCTGTACATCCGGCATTAACCATTGAATCCTTGCAGTTTTAATACAGCAACCAAAAGGGAAACGTTAAAAGACACCGTTTCCTTTTTGTGCACAGATGTGTAAGACTACTAACACCGAAGCACTAAAACTCCCCACAAAGCCTAAAGGAAGCCTGTAAAGCTCTGCTGCACTGTGGCCTTTGCAGTTTGTCACAAGGCACTTACTATCTAGGTTTTTCTGAGAACACTGAACAGCATACATTTTCGGACTATGATAATTCCTTGAAAACAGTGAATTTTGAAATCTAACCTGCCAGTACAGTCATTCTGGTTTTTATTTTTTCCAGGTTGCTGCCACCCTGAATAACTTGGCCGTGCTGTATGGAAAGAGAGGGAAGTACAAGGAGGCCGAGCCTCTGTGTAAGAGAGCTCTAGAGATCAGAGAAAAGGTAGGCCATATCCCTGGATTGCACCAGCAGGGCACTGCTATCGAGGTCTCATCTCAAGGCTAAACCAGTGAATAATTAGCCCATTGTTATAAAGTAATTAACAGTGGTAACATTTCCAAAATGTCAGTCAAAGCTAGTGTAATACCAGCTACTATAAATAGGAAAAAGAGCAAATGATTTTCTTAAATTGTCTGTGAAGTTTCCACTGGGGGCCATTCCTTTGTCAGCAGGGAATTAGGGTTTAATTGAGAGCGCAGCTGAAAATGGATAGCAGGCGTTGGGGGAGCGAGGAAGGAGATGGATAGGAGACATGACAAAACTACCGAGCTCAGCATGGTACAAAGGGTCTCTCTTTGCCCGAAAGCTCTATTCTGTAGCCTCGCTATTGATCGGCCAGCCTTTTATTAGATCTCCTGAGTGCCTGCAGCAGGCTGACGTGCTGCCTGGTGAAAGCAGCAACAGGATTTTGAGCTATAGACAGGAGAGATGCACTGAGGCAGAAAGACATCCTGAACATATACTTTTCTGATATCCATCAGGTCCTGGGGAAGGACCACCCAGATGTGGCCAAACAGCTGAACAACCTGGCTCTGCTGTGTCAGAATCAGGGCAAATATGAGGAGGTGGAATATTACTACTGTCGTGCCCTGGAGATCTACGAGTCCAGGCTGGGCCCAGATGATCCAAATGTGGCCAAAACCAAGAACAACCTGGTGAGCGAGAAGTTGACAGGAAATCCACTCGCGTGGTCCTTTTTCTCGTCTTTCTTTCAAACCTTTCACTTCTAATGCTGTACTTGTTGATAAGAACTGCAGTCTCTGTTGAGCTGTGAGTGTAACGAGGTAAATGCAGGCAGAGTTTTCTTTGGTTGCCAACAGACTCGATCATTTGTTTTGTCAGCCTTGGTCTCTGCGGAGGTGTTGAGCTTGTATATTGGTGCCAGCCTGCAAAGATTCCACTTGAAATGTCTTTTAAACTCAACTGTTTTTTTGTTTTTTTTTCCCCTCCCTTTTTCTTCCAAAAGGGCACGACTTGCTTCAACACAAGATTTTTATAAAAGTTAACAATCAATTTACTCTTGCAGCATAAGATTTGTCACCTCAAAAGGTGTTTAAAGAACTGTTTCGTGTCACTTAGCATTGCTTAAAGAGCACAAGGTTAGTAGTCTTTTATCTGCTGTTCTGCTGCATCTTCAAGGCTTTCCTTTTCACTTATGTTCGCACTGCCTCACTGATGATGGAGAGAATTTATGTACAGCGAGGGAGGCAAAATCTGAGCCAGTAAGCCCGTTTGGTTCAACACTAAAATCCCCTTTTACCTCTTTGTTCTTCAGGCATCCTGCTTTCTCAAACAGGGGAAATACAAGGAGGCTGAGATTCTCTACAAAGAGATCCTGACTCGTGCTCATGAGAAAGAATTTGGATCTGTTGATGGTAAGGTCATATAATGGCTACTGGAGCGTGCATGTATAGCAGTGAATGTTTAATTATATTAGTACAAATGAGAATTTTTATTCTTACCAGTGAATGACTATAAAATGATCTCAGGAGAACTGCAGCTCAGTAATTCAGCATTATTTTGTTGTTGTTTTTCACTTTTCTTATCCATCCACTGTTTGTGCTACACCAGCGAGCAGTGATGGACAGGTGGTTAAAAAGTGGACTTGTGTCTAAGCACGGTACCAAGCTTCACCATTCAGAGGACTCGATCTTTCTGAAGAAATAAAGAGTTTGCTTTGAAAGATGAACTCTTGCAATTTTCTTCTCTTTTGGTTTAAAGTAAGCTTTTTTTGTTGGCTTTCCTCCATGGATTAGACTGACTGCTTTGAAAAAGGAATAAAAGTCACTTGGCACAAAGCAGCGCTCTGACATCCAACTTTTTCAGAGAGGTTTATTCTTTGTGTGTCACTTACCTTGATAATATTGTAAGATTTTTTTTTCTTTTCTTTTTTAATACTAAAGTGCTTTGAAGGTTAAGGTGACGCAACTTGAAGCAGCAACAGTTAACCATAAATATTCTTTCTTCTTAGTCTTTATTACCTCAACAGTAGTATCGTCTTCCTCTCTACACCATTAAAAACAATTTTAATGGTGCTTTTGTACTGTCTGTAATTTGTTTGGGGACGAATCTGCAGTAAATTTATTAAAGCTGTTACACTCGTACTCTATTACTAAACCACCAGCACATCAAGCAGGTGCAGATGTTTGCCTAAACCAGTAATGATCTTTTAAATGAGTTGCAAGTTTGCAAACAAAATGTCATAAATAAATTCCCTTCTTTACACCACCTGACCTGGAAACCCCGAATCAGCCCAATATTTGATGTGCTCGCACATGCACAGAGGTATAAGTAACTGTCCCAGGGTGTCAGCAAGATGGGTGCTAGACTTTCCTCAGAGTCATGACCTCACTTCCTGTTAAGTCTCTCATTTCTGTTGGCTTAAATAGTTAAAATAGTGCTTGACTTTTTTAATGCTTGGTCAGATCTACTGTGCCATCAGTCTAAAATCTCAGATGGATTCTGGTGAATACTTGGAAAAATATGAAGCCTCAGAAATGTTATAAAATCCATTATGGTAGTAACTGGAATAACCCGTTGAACCCACATTCATTTTCGACCCACCGGTGGCGGTACAGCACTTGAATACTTAATAATTCCTTTACCCCTTCGCAGCTCTGCCTCCTTCTGAAATGGCTCAGTCACATGTTTCCAGATTCACTCTTTAGCCAAAGCGACACACGTTCACTCTTCCACCACACGTAGCTGATTTCACTTTTCCAGGCATGAGGCTAATTATTTAAAATCCCAACGCATACACCATCTCTCCTGTCTGTCTGCAGCTGACAACAAGCCCATCTGGATGCACGCCGAGGAAAGGGAGGAGAGCAAGGTGAGCGGCTCTCTGTAACCGTCCTCGCGTGAATTTGAGCAAAAGCTAAACAAACAAAACTTGTTTCAAACAGCTTTTCTAACACAAGGCTGAGAAATGAGGAAAGCATGCCACTTCGTTATAATAGAAATGCAATCCTTGAACTAATCCCCGGAAGTTAAATGATAGTTAAACATAAACACAATATTGCTCATTCATTTGAACCACACCCCTTCACGTTTTTCTTCCTCTTCTCTCTTATTTACTTCCAGGGCAGGCACAGAGACAATACTCCATACGGAGAGTACGGAGGCTGGTACAAGGCCTGCAAAGTCAATAGGTGAGGCGGAGACTGATAAGTGTTTTTTACAACATGGTCACGTGACAAAGACGGAAATTAATTATTTAATTTGCTTTGTATGTCACTAACTTGTATTGGAAGCTTTTTTTTTTTTTTTTTGGAAAAATATTATTTTTAGACTTGTGTAACTTATGTAACTTTATTTGCTTTGTTCAGATTCAAATAACGAAACTTGTCTGTGCATCCAGCCCTACAGTAAACACCACCTTGAGGAACCTGGGGGCTCTGTACCGCCGCCAGGGCAAGCTAGAAGCTGCTGAGACCCTGGAAGAGTGCGCTGCAAGGTCTCGCAAGCAGGTCAGCATCGTTTTCTACGTGAAAATAGTAATATGTTCCCCATGTTAGCACAGTGAATCTCATGATATTTCTTTCCCTTTCCCTACATTGCTATGGATCCAGAGCAACACAGTAAGTTGATTTGTCTCTAACTAGAGCCTCCACTTCTCTCCCCTAACATCACTCCCATCTCACAGTCATTTAAAACGTGTCCCAGTGCTTTGAAAGCATTAATAGGGGAAAGGAAACATGAAATCACGTTTAATTCCTCCATTTAACTTTGCACTCCTGCCAATATTGACATGCTGACGGCTACATCAGTGCTACTTCTGACTGTTTTTGTTTTGTTTTTTGTTTCTTTTTTCTTGCATCTGTGTGTTGCACCCATCAGGGCATCGACCCAATCCACCAGACACGTGTGGTGGAGATCCTGAAAGATACAGAGGGCGACAGGCGGAAGAGCAGGGACAGTCTCGCCAGCGTTAAGTATGAGAGCGGCTCTGAGACCGGCGAGGAAGTGAGTATGGGCGTGGAGTGGAACGGGGTGAGTACAAATCCACTATGGTTGAGTCAACGTGTCCGCTGGCCTCTCTGGAAAAACGAGGCTGTGTTGGTAATATCACAGAGAGGGTGTACTGGTACAGGACGCTCAGAATAAAGGACAAAGACGTGTTATGTGTTTAAAAGGAGAGCCGAGAGGATTCCTTTCTGTTAGGTTAGTGCAGTGAGGACAGCGACTCCGCTGGCTCAGAGCCAGTCAGGAAGCCCTCAATGAGTCCAGACTTTACCAAATCACCTGGATGACCTTGTAATTATGCGAGTCATCACATTGAAGCACATTTTGGCTCCACCCAGTGAGCTATACCTGTATCAGTCCACCATCTCCCTGTGAATATACCACCATGAGATTTAGCTGCAAGTTCAAAGTGTAACGCTGATTGAGTGTCTTGGCATGCTGCACCCTCTTTATTTTGACAGCATCAAAACTCAGTTTTGGACTCCATGTTAACCTTTTTAATAAAGGCAATTTTTCTGGCGATGCTTTTGCACAAGTGAAGCAGTAACTATGAGGCACAGGTTTAGACTGTGGCACCCTGGCAACACATTAAACATTCATATGCTCAGAGATATAGCCTGTCTACATCTCTAATAGGATGTGTCATGTTTCTGCCATTAAGCACAACTGACAAGGTTCCTGATATCGTCGGTGCTCGTGCCTCTGCTTGTCCCTCTGCTCAGTAATCAGAGTGGCTGATATGTAAGAGTTCATCCTGCTGCCTTATTGTAATGTTCACTCTGGCTGTTAGCTGCACTTTTGGCCTTTTACAGTGAGAAAATAGGCTATAAAACATGGCGCTCTATGCAGTCAAATTGGCACCGCTGTTGCTGGGGCGCAGTTCACCCCCAAATAATGAGACTTGCATAAGGCATGAGAGCGTTGGCAGGGATGCCTCATCTGAGCCTGTGCCTCACCCCTCACTTAAGTGCAGCCACGCCCTCCGCTGCGCCAACCCAGTCCAAACATGCATGCAGCAATGCCAGCCCGCTGGGCCTCCCCTCCCCTTAACAACACACACTAACGCACGTCATGTGTTCAGTGTGTTTTCACTTAGTTGAGAAGTGTCTTTTCTTTAACCTGATGTCTGCTGCTCTGCACATGTTCATAAGCGTAACACGGCTACTCCACACTGCTTCACAGCGCACTGCAGCAAATGTTAACGGCATGTGTGTCTGCATCTGAGCGCGCACCT